GTGAATAAAAGGAACTACCTAATATATATACGTACATACAACCAGTAATGCTGTTAATGCTATGCTCAAGCAGTACTTTCTCCAGTTATGAACACTTAAAAACTGATTTCAACTCTATAATTCACAATCAGCTGTTTTCTGATTGGGGATTACATCAGAATGGGAAAAAGCTCTTTTCATCAAAATATTTGCATTATTAGATTTCTCTTACTATTTATTGATTATCTCTGATAACAGGCTAGTACATTATAAAATAAGGTTCCACCTAAGCTCCTAATAAAAAGTGTAAGTCATACTGCTTAAAATATGTCACATAAGTGGGTAAATATTTATTGCACAGAAATTACAGTCAATTTACACTGAATTGCCAATTATCTGTCCCTGTATCATACTGGAGAAAATTCTACAACTGATGTTCAATTCAATCATAAAATTAAAAGGGGTGATTGCGTTTGTCCAGCATGTGCTTGAACACATTCATCATCTGGAGAATTAATTCCATTGCCAAACTATACTGAGATTTTTTTTAATATTCATCCATATTCCTACAACTTTTCCATTTATTCTATATTCAGCACTCTACAATGAGTATGGATCATCCCAATTTGGTTAGCAAGAACATTTAGACTGGATATAGCATTTTTATCCACCTATTTATTGTGGACCTAAAATAAGCAAATGTTGTACCATCGCAGGACATAAGAAGTCCCAAGTTGCCTTTTGTAATCAATTGGTGGCGATTTTGTCAATGCCGATAGTGTTCAAGTTTGGGATTGCACCCAATGTGCTTATTACTATTGGTACTATCTTTGGTTTCTTTTGCCATAGTTGTTCTATTTTTGTTTGCCAGTCTTTGCATTTTGTAATTTCTTTAGTTCTTTCTCTTTTATTCTGCTGTCTCCACTATCTAGATACTGCCACCATCTAGATTTTTTGGTCTTAATTATTGAAAATTATTAAGTCTGGGATGTTATGTGGCAGGTGTTTGTGTGTTTGAATTCTAAAATCCCACAGCATTTTAGCTTATTTTTTATTATTAAATTCTATCGGTATCCATTCAAAATCCCACACTCTTCGTATTAGAACTTCACAGCTTATCCAATTTGTCCCCTGGTGACAATATAAAGTTTGTTGATAATAAAGTTATCATCAACATACAGTATTGATGATACCACACCACAAACTGATGGATGATCTCTCAGAATAGTTTTAAATATAGTTGTCACCAGGGAGACAACTGAGTGCAAGCAGTATCCTACTTCTGCAATCACTCCTCTTTTACTACTACATATTGGAATCACCCCCTAAAGGAGAACTGTGACAATCACATAATGGGAGGCAGTCCAATCAGAAATTGTGATAAATGGTATCAAATCATTGAAAAATTTAATAGGACCAAGGCACACTTCTACTCTCAAGAAATTGACATATGTTGTCTATCATATTCTTTCTTTTGCAATAACAATTATTTATAAATAAAGGAGTAACGTAACAAAGCCAGGGTAATAAATTAGCACACATATCAGGATACAGTATTCTAAGATGGGGAAATGGCTACCCAATGCTTTAAGATTGCTGAATAAACCTTTATATTAATCTGCTGGCCTATCTCAAATGTGGGCAGAATCATTATTCAACAGCTGGATCAGAAGCTACAGTTAATAGTTGAGGAGATGGAATCTGATACTATTTAAAGATTTTGTTCTTATCATCCTGTTCTTTGTTTTGTTAATCCCTTGTTTGATCCTGACTCAGAAAAGTAAACTGCATAAAGAAGGTACCAGCTGAGATACCATTATCCCATCCCTTTCCCCAGCCATGGGAATTAATGAGAGAAACTCAAAAGAAATTAGTTGGCCTGGCTCAGTCCTTATCCCTTTCAGCAAACAGGATTGGATGCCTCCAGATATTCAAAGAGAAACCCAGCCCCATGCATGAAAAGTATTTATGGTGTGAAAAATATACTTAAATGGAATGGATGAACACAAGACGATCCATTCAGGCAATTCCTTGGCAAGAGAACTTTTCATATGAACAAAATTCTGCATCTTAAAGGATTTTTAGAGTATAGAAAAGTAAACAAGACATGTAGGAACATTGTCATTTGTGGGAAGGAAACGCGCGATAAAAAATCAATGTTTCCAAAAAGGAGTGTGCAAGAAACTAATGAGAGTTAATAATTAGTTAAACAGACACAATAAGAAAATAAAGCAATTAAAGTTGCTTTTAGTATGAATATATGGGATGTTGGAACACCCAGTACTGTTAAGAGCAGTGGTGGGTTGCTCCCGGGTCGGGTGATCCGGTAGTGGTGATGATGTGACATCACCGAACCAGTTCTCTTTGAATGGGAGCTGGGCACTCCCGTCCGCTGCCGCGTTATTCCTACCTTTATTACTCATTTGTTAGCCCAGCTGATAGGTGCGGCAGAGTGGATTGCTGCACCTCAGCTGGGCAGAAACCTAATGTTCGGCGATCGCACGCAATGCGTGTACACGAAGAGAACTGGTGGTAACACCGGTTGGAATCCACCACTGGTTAAGAGCCTTCTCAGAATTGTTCTTTTCAGCCTCAACAACAGTAACAAGAAAAGAACTTATTCAATCAGGCTGACTTGGGAGACTTGTATTTCCTATTTTGCTTCTTGATATTGATGTCTCTGTTTCTCTTTCAGTAAATGGTGAATCTTCTCTTTGCAGTGGACTCTGGACTTTAATACTCCATTATTATTAAATCAAAGCAATAATGTATTTTTATGCCCATTTTGGAGCCCTATAATACTCCTGCCTCATTGTCAAAAAGTCTTTCAGAAAGAGGGAGTCCACTCCAAATGCCATCTGGTTGAGGATCAAGACACATCAATGCTATGTCTATCCATTTTTCCAGTTGTGCCTGGAGCTAGACAGTATTCCTCCTGTGACTGCCTGCTTTACATCCACAGTTTACAGGCGAACCCACCTACTGTAAATCAGTATCCGTCAGGGCTACAGAAAGTCCCATACTGAACACATTGCACTCCATGCTGACCTAGCTATCATTTTGCTATAATTTGACCTTCTATTACCAATAGATGACAATAATGCTTGGACAAGTTCAGTTATCTTTGGATTATTAACTTTGCTTCTCAAGTTAAACTCTAACAGTTCTTTTATAGGTATCTATTTTACTCGGACCAAGGACCATAACCAAACCTTTTGTCATATGAAGCAGGCCTATCCTTCTGTCCCTGTCTTTGGTCTTTTTAATTATTCTTTACTCTTTACCATATTTTGCCATGAATATGACACCCTCTAGTGTCCTTCAACCCTGTGGCAACTGTCTTCATCTGATGGTGTACTGCAGTTACAAGATGGATCCAAACAGCTGCCTTTCCAGCTTCTTTCTGTACCATTCAAGCTGCTGATTTCTTACTGGACAAATCCTCCTGTTAGGGGATCTGCTCTCATAATACCTATTCCCCATATGAGAGTGGACTTTCTCTCTCATCACTTTGGCTTGCTCTTGACTCCCACAGCTGAGCAAATTGCAGTGGCACTCCTGAACTTTCCATCCTTGTTTCCTTTCTTGATCTCTGCTTTCTTTTAGCCCCATATTGTGATGAAAGTTTTTTCCCAATCATAATGCAAAAATTATTCTTCTTTCCAAAATTCAGGAAATTCCCATTGTAAAGGCATTTTTTAAAATTTTATACTGGTTATAACCCTGATAGATGTTTCTGAATATGCAATATGTGTTTCTTCTGAATGTGCTGAATCTGGTTCTTTGCTCACTCTGTTTCTGCTCATGTTGCTGGGTTACAAGCTCTGACTCGAACTTGCATTTTAGCCTCAGGTTCTTCTGGTAATATTTATAGTAGCAGTTTTTATTGTTTTGGCGTTATACATAACTACAGTCAATTCTGGGAAAACCTCTGGTTGTCTAATTCAAGATTCTGACTTTGTTTCTGTTTTACAGTACTTGCTGCTATTCTTCTGCCCTCTGCTGTTGCTCTTGTTATAGTAAATGTCTATTCTCATTTGCCTAGGAATGAACTTTTTGATTCTTGCGCTCAAAATATTGCACTCCAGTCTCCCAATGTTTTTATACAAGGTGCTTTTTTACTTTTTTGTTTGTTCAGAAAACAGACCCAGTCTGAAAGGACTGGATTTAGGTAGAGATTCTTTCTTGGCCCTCAGGGAGCTCTTCAGAATCGAGATGGTTCCTGTTTCCTCCCTTTTTCCTTTCTCTTCTTGTCCATTTAGCTAATAAGGTATCAAATGGGGACCTACAAGAATCAGTCCAGGATCCTCTATTCTTCAATATTTTTATAAATAATATGGATGACGTGGAAGAGGGAATATTAATCAAATCTGCAAATTAAGCAACGTTGGGTAGGATGCCCACTATTGCAGAACATAGAAATAACATACAAAATTATCTGGTTAAGTTAGAGAAATTAAATGAACACAAAATTTAACACAGAAAAGTTCACTTATGGAAATAATAATTCACAGACATAAGATGAAAGATATATTTGTGTAAAATATCTTGAAATAGTAGTTACTTACAATGAGCATGCAATATAATGTGACTGCAATATAATGTGACTGCAAAAAAGAACATCGATGCAGAGCACACGCACACACATGCATATATATGGTGTATTCTCTCTACCTCTTCTCCCTGTGTATGTGTGTATGGAGGGAGACAGAGACAGATGGAGAGAGAGAGAGAGAGGGAAAGAGAGAGAGAGGATGGATAAATTCCAAATCACAGTAAGTAATAATTTGACTTTAGTCTATTTTGGTCAAACCATGCATACCTTGGTCTGGGCACTATATTTTAGGATTTAGAGAAACTTGACATAAGGACAATAAGATAAGCAAAAATGAAATCCTATGAAGACAAATGGAAGAGCAGGAGATACAGGTAGTCCTCGACTTACAACAGTTTGTTTAGTGATGGTTCGAAGTTACAATGATAGTAAAAAAAGTGAACTTATGACAGTTTTTCACACTTACGACCGTTGCAGCATTTCCATGGTCATGTGATCAGAATTCAGACGCTTGGCAACTGACTCATATTTATGATGGTTGTAGTATCCTGGAGTCATGTGATCACCTTTTGCGACCTTGTGACAAGCAAAATCAATGGGGAAGCCAGATTCACTTAACAACCATGTCATTAACTTAATAACTACAGTGATTCACTTAACAACTGTGGCAAAAAAAGCAAAATTCACTTTAACAAATGTCTCACTTACCAACATCTCACTTACCAACAGAAATGTTGGGCTCAATTGTGGTCATAAATTGAGGACTACCTGTACATTTAGTCTTAAGAAAAACCAAATGAGATTATGACAGAATTCTTCAAATACTGAAAAGAATGTCATATAGGCCAAGAGTTGTTGCTTCTTACTCCACATGGCAGAAGAGAGAAGAATGGGGAAGGGCAGATTCCAACTTCAATTCCATTTTTCATCAAAATGTTCTCAACGGTTCTTATGATATTCCCCTGTATTTCTGTGCAAACACTGATATATGTAATATACTCTGTGGATGACTCCTTTTGCTTTGCTTCTATGTTTTGTGGTCAAGCTATACTACTCCTCAATTTACAATCGGTCATTTAACAACTAGTAAGTTACAACAGCCTCAGAAAAAGTGCTTTATAGCTCATAAAGCACTTCTAGCCAATGTCATGCTGCCCCTTCCTTATGGTCACATGACTGTATTTCAGGTGCTTGGCAACCAGATCACATTTACAGCATCCTGAGGTCACATGACCATGATTTGTAACTTTTTTGCCAGTTTTTAGCATTCTTCGCTGGTTTTCAGCACATATACCCATTTAGCAGAAGAGATTCAGATTTATGACCATGTGATTCACTTAATGATCTTATGTTTCAGTCTTATGACTTATGAGTAACTTAATGATCACAATAATTTAAAAACAATAATAATTATTAATAATTCTATAAAAATGTTTGTAAAATCAGGTCAGATCATATGGATGCTTTGATTTATGACCATGACTAACAACTGAAATTTCAGTCCTAATTGCAGTTGTAAGTCAAAGATCACCCACATGTCCTTTAATTGCTATTTGCCAATCATAAATCTCAGTCCACTAGGTTTGCTATATGTATTAACATATTTACACATTACCAGTTACTGTCTCTCAACACAATCTCTCTCACTGGGTAGAATTGTGGAAAATTCAGCACTTAAATCCTAGAGGAAAGGAGTAAGAAGAATTTAGCAATAAATAACTAATAAATATATAGTTAATTACTGGAAAATGTTTTAAAATGTAAAATTTCAACAAAGGAAGGAGTACACAGAACATGTACTTTTTGGGGGGACCTCTCTATATTTTTGTTTAGACCAGAAACTATTCAGAAGTAATTGGCCTTCAAGCTCTGGAAATGTTTCTACTTTATAAAATCATGAAGTTGACATAACCATGTCTTAAGCACCTTTCAGTATCAAAAGACATGAGCCGATTTAATTTCAGGCCACATAAGGTAGCCACTGAGGCAGAGTAGAGATGTCTTCTAGGATCCCCTAGCACAGTACAACTTTCATGGTGTACAATTCTTACTGCATTAAGCAACCAAATTTCAACTCCATATTTGCACAAAACATTTAAAATTAAAAATATATTACCTTTATTATATATTTTCTGTAAATCAATAGAGACCAAATAAATTTCCACACACTCAAGCACTTTTTGACTCGTATACTGCATGAGTCAAAAAGAGGGCTGTGAAAATATTTACAGACCCCTCACATCCTGGACATAAACTGTTTCAACTCCTACCCTCAAAACAACGCTATAGAGCACTGCACACCAGAACAACTAGACACAAGAACATTTTTTTTCTGAATACCATCACTCTGCTAAACAAATAATTCCCTCAACACGGTCAAACTATTTACTAAATCTGCACTACTATTAATCTTCTCATCGTTCCCATCACCCATCTCTTTCCATTTATGACTATATGACTGTAATTTTGTTGCTTGGATCCTTACGATTTATATTGATATTGTTTCCTGATTGCTTATTTGTACCCTAAGACTATCATTAAGGGTTGTACCTTATGTTTCTTGATGAACGTATCTTTCTTTTATGTACACTGAGAGCATATGCACTAAGACAAATTCCGTGTGTGTCCGATCACACTTGGCCAATAAAGAATCCTATCCTATCCTATCCTATCCTATCCTATCCTATCCTATCCTATCCTATCCTATCCTATCCTAAATGACTTGCTAAAGGTAAAAATATGCACTATCCACATACCACCCAGCAAAGAGTCACAAAGTACTTCCCAGCTTTTGCTTATTTTGTATACTTTCAATTAGAATCACACCACCTCATTTCATCACTTCCCTGTAGTTTTTTAATTCATGCTTACTACCTTTTCCCTTACTGGATATTTGTTATTCAGTCACTAAGTCTTGTCTGACTCTTTGTGACCATATGGACCATAACACACACCCCTTTTTCCACCATTTCCTGGAGTTTGCCCCAGGGTAGATCTGATTTAAATCAAGTCGATTTAAATCACAATTTAAATCATGATTTAAATCACTAGTAAAAAGGCTTGATTTAAATCAACTCAATTTAAATCATAATTTTTAAAGAGCAACTGTCATCTCTGTTCCACAGCAGCTCCTTCTCTGATCTGCTGTTGACTCACCGACAGTCCCATTCACTTTAATGGGACAGCTGATGATGCAGCAGTGACACAAGATGAGGGATGTGGCAGGCAGCAGATGAATGGATGCCCGCTAACAGGAGCTGCCATGATGGATCTGAAATGACAGATGCTCTTTAATATTATATTTATAAGATGCTTAGAAGGCTTCACTTTCATTTTTACTATTTGCCTTTCCTCCTCACACTTAAAGCCTGGTGGTACAGATGCATTTCTCTTCAAATAATCATAGAGTTTGTAGTGTACATAGATTTGCAAAACAATGGGATAAAGGAATATTCCTGAACTTGGTTGTATGATTTATCTCATGGTTACTGTGAAATTGTATGGATGCATCAATGCATATTATCTGAGCTTGCAGAACTTGGAGTCACTGAATGAGTTTACAAAAAATGTAACTATTGTAGAATATACAGCCTCATGCTACATAACTAAGCTCCATTTCATGCTGAATAAACTAAATTGTTAATGTATCTTAAATAGAAAACTATCTTTAGATAGATTTTTACTCCAAAAGCATTTTATTAAAATAAATTTGATAAAAATAAAAAAAATCTGATTTAAATTAAAAAATCTGAATTTTTTAATTTTTTTTTAAAAAAGATCATCGATTTTTATCCACCCTGGTTTGCTCAAATTCATGTTCATTGAGTCAACGACACTATCAAACCATCTCATCCTCTGTCATCCCATTCTCCTTTTGCCTTTAATCTTTCCCAGCATCCAGGTCTTTTCCAATGACTCCTTTCTTCTCATTTGGTGATGAAAGTACTTGAGCTTTGGATCTGTCCATCCAAAGAACAGGGCTGATTTCCTTTAGGGTTGATCTCTTTTACTATATATAGAGGGAAGGTAACAGTATTCTTCCAATGGTCTTGCAGTTTTCATTTACACATTAAACAAGTTGCACAACTTTCTCTAATTACACAATATACACCTGCAGCTTTGTTATAACATTTATGACTTACTTTACATCATTTTTTTTCTTGGACAACATTTACAGTTTTAATTTCAATTCCACTGTTTGGAATGTCACTATCGTTTTTCTACAAACTCTAAAATACTCTTACCAGCATTGCCTTCCTTCAGCTTTATCCAAAATCATTTAATCTCTTCTATTCTTAATTCCATTCACTCTGCCAAAGTCTCTTTATTTGGTCCCTTTCACTTACTTCCAAAACATTTTAAATTTCCATCAAAGTCACACTATGGTTTTACCTTTTTAATTTTAACCATTCTTGTTCACTTTGACTACTTTTGTTACAACTATCCTTTTCTGTATATTCATGGATACTGTATAGCTATAGTATCTTTCAACCACATTTCTTATAGCAAGCATTCTCTTACATGCATTATTCTCATCCTGTTTATTTTCACTTCAACATTCTCATCAATCATCATTACACAATCAGTGTAATTGCAGATTTTTGTGATACCCTGTAAAATACTTTTTCTCTTAATACTAAACAGCTTCAACAATCTTTTTATTTACATCCACTTTAATTCATTATCCTGGGAAAGCACTAATGGTTTCTCTTCCCACAGATATTCTACCATTTACTCCTGTTTCATTCATTTCTGCCCTTTTCCATGTTCTTCGCCCCTTCACAAGATTTTGGATCTCTACCCATATCATGAACAATAAAATGGCACTTAAGGCTATTAACAAGAAAATCTGAAAGTACTGAAGTTCTCAAATATATTAAATGTAATTTAAACATTTTAAAAACAGCCCACATGTCCTAAAAATAAATTGATATATCAATGTCTAGAGAAATAAAAAATTATTCATCAACTTCTATGGAGTTTTTTATTTTATTAAGCAGTAAATCACTCCAAAAACCAATTTTCATAAACAATTAGTAGCAAAACTATATACCAAAACTATGGAATATTTTTTAAATGTTGTGACACAATTCTGACAGAAAAGTCAGAATTGATTGTAAGAATGACTATTGGTGTGTCATCTTCACTGAGTTATCATTGAATTAAACACCCATTTTGGTACAGATGAATATCATTTTCTATTTGAAGTGGGCAGAGATCCAAACACATTGTTTCCTGATAGCATACAGTAAATTAGTAAAAACTCAGCAAAACAAGCACAAATGAATAATAGCATTAAATGGAAATAAAAATTAAATTCCAAGGTACTTTTAGCCTTATGTTCCATTTTATAAGAAAGTTGTTCGTTTTAAAGAATTCCTAATGTACAAGAAAATTATAGGCTTAATTAACTAAAATGCAGAGATAATAACAACTCTCTCTTATGATTACTGAGTTAGGAAATGTCATCTCCATGGGAAAATACGTTTTTTCTTGATGTGTAGATTATTTTTACATTTAAAAAAAAAGTATGCTTAATTGTTGTGGTCATCTCTCCTGTAATATAAATAGTTCCT